ACCAGACCATACCATTGGGGGGGGGCTGGGACGCCAGACGACTGACCACATATGCGTGTGCGTGTGCGTGTGTTATGCAGATTCTGTGTCCGAGGGTCTGTCGACGGTCGGTCGGTCTGTCTGTCTGTCTGGCTGCCTGGCTGCCTGGCTGGCTGGCTGGCTGGCTGGCTGGCTGGCTGGCCGTCTGCATGTCTGTCTGTCTGTCTGTCTGTCTGTCTGTCTGTCTGTCTGTCTGTCTGTCTGTCTGTCTGCGTGTCTGCCTGTCTGCCTGTCTGCCTGTCCGTCTGTCGGTCAGTCAGTCTTCTGTGTCTGTCTGTCTGCGTCATTTTGTATTTGTGGACGGTTCAGTGCATGTGTGTGTGTGTGTATGTGTGCGTGCGTGTGTGTGTGTGTGTTGCTATCAACGTACCGGAGGCTAGTTGCATTGCCTCCGCCTCTTCGATGGCTCTTTGCTCAAAGTGTTTAACACGTAGTGGTGCGGCCGTGGCCCATCAGGGCCAGCGCCCAAAAGGCTCGGCCGGGTTTGGGGAGGCATGGCTGGAGCTCCCAGCAAGCGCAGGTACAGCTCAAGCCTCTGTCTCTGTGTGTGTGTGTGTGTGTGAGTCTATGCTTTGGCATATGTCTTTCGCTCCTCGACCATGCTTTCTACTTTTGCTATCCCTCATGTAGCAGTGCCTGTCAATTGCTGTACCCTGCGAACACGTCTGCATATGACATGGATTTGATGTGAGCATATGGGATTCGTTTTGAAGATCTGCAGGCGACACAGGCCAGATGAAGTGCTGTCCTTAGACGGTGCGGTGGGATGCCAGCCAGCGAGGAATCGCCCTGCCCCGAGGTTCGTCAGCATCATACAAAAGCGAGCATCTGCCGCACCTGGCAAGTCAATGATCCTCAACCCGGAGGAGTGGTCGTGGGGCCCATTACATGCGCCTGCAGTTCAGAGGGCACATGCGGCATCCAGCTCTCCAGGACTATGCAGCTGCTGGTGGCGAGCTGTGACACGGCAGAGCTGGATGGGTTGGAAGGGAAGTTGAGGGCAGGAGTGGAGCGGGGGTTGTGGCTTCTCCCTCACTTTCTCACTTCAGGCATCAGGTGTCGCGACGTTGTGATGTGTTTGCTGACCAGTTGGACTGGAGTGTGCCGCTAGTAATGCCGCTTGTTTGTCTTCCGGCTCCGCGGCCGAGCGCTGTCAACATGCGATCCTTGACGAACTGTACGAGTCGGAGAGCTTGAGCCATACAGTAGCGCAGATCCAGCTTGTGTGGGTTTTTGATGACCCCTCGCGGGTGTGTTTTTGTTCAGAGATCCTTGTCTTTGGCCCACCTTCTACGTAAACAAGGATTTGTTTCAGCCACGTGGGTCGAGGCTTGTGATCGCAATGGTCCTCAGCTGGGTCCTGACGCGACTGGGCTACAAAGAATCACGCATGTTGGCCGTTGACGGGGGGATTCTCAACGTACTTTGCCTGGGGTTTGTGGTTCTCTTTGTTACCTTATGTTGTCTGTGAGACAACCCGTTCTTCCAACGTGCCCCTCGCTCAGGTACATCTATGCAGCCCAGCTGCAGCAGTTTTGCACCATGCTCTAGTTTGCCACTTTGGGGAACTCTGCACACAGGGACGACTGTTGATTGGAGCTTCCTCTGCAGCGGAGACGAATCTGTACAGCCTCAAACCCTCGACCATTTTCTGAGGATCATGACATCATCAAAGACAACCAGCTGAAGAGGCGTCAATGGGTCCATCTCTGCGTTCCTTCCTGCATGAGAGTTGATGCCAGCTACCTGACTTGGACATCCTTGGAGGCGTGTGGGGTACAACAACCTCTGCGTTGGATGGGATATGGCACCAGCAAAGTACTTTGCTGGCCCTATCTTCGTAGCATCCTGGTTGCGATGGTTTCTTGGGAGCTAGCTCGCTGTCTTTGGGATTCGGGAAGCGGACAGTGACGAGCTGAGTTATGAATGTCGTGCAAGTCTCCAACTATGCAGAAGCTGCGGCCAGCCGTGCTGGTTCGTCTTCAGCTAGGTGCAATCAAACGCTGGCCGAGATCGTTTACTTTTTGGAACTAAGGGCATCGTGTTCTTTGAGTCGCGACACTCGGCTGCACAGCAATATTCTTGTTCTCAATTTTTTTGGCCTGCCGCATTCAAGGATTCATGCAGCTGTCCTATCAGCGGGCTGCGATCGACCCATCCAGCAACCGGAACGAGGAGCGTGCTTCGCTTTCGAGCAGTTTACTGGCATGTTCATTGTGTTTCCGTTTTGTCTTGCAGGACCGAATAATAATGGCCCGAGCCTTATATAGAAGTTCACATACACAGTACGAGGGATTTGAAATCTCAGCCGCGTCCCAGATCACCAATTTCTTCAGCACACTGAGCTGGCAGCCTGGCAGAATTCTGCTCCGTTTGGATTGGGCTTCAACAAACAGCAACATCTTGTGCTTTGTGCCCGTTGGGTTGACTTAGGACGTTGCAAGAAGGGAGTGCATTAACACCTGCCCAGGATGGTGTGCATCCTGATATTCGTGTGTTCGCCGGTGGAGAACGCGACTTTGCACACCTTCTCCTTCGTGCAGCTGGTCGTGCCGCTCTGCTCGACTGTGAACTCCCACGTTCTCAAATCATCGCTGCCCGAGACCGGAGTACCAAACGGAGGTTGATTCCTAAAGGGCACTTAGAAAGTAGTCCAACTTTGCAACCCCCCTCAAGCAATTTCCGCACCAAGAGGCTACCAGGCCCCAAGCAATGCTTCCGCCAGTCTGTAGTTCTGAATCACTTCAGAGTTCACAGCAGGTTTGGGTATTTCGCCTATGCGGCTAACTTCGTGACAACGGACGTGAAGTACCACCCGCGAGGCGAGGGAGCCTTGGGAGCCTTGGAGGGTTTGACCTGGACGGATGCGTGCTTCGCTTCAGTCCAACTCACCGGAGGTTCCCATGTCTTCATCGGCATCTTTGGCTTCTTCTCCTTGATGTCTCGCGGCTGGCAATAGACTCGACGAGATCACAAATATCTTTCAGCTTCAGCTTGGCGGGCGCAGAAGCACTGAGACCCTAAACCCTAACCGTAAACCCCACGCGCTGGAGCCCACCCCCCCGAAGCCTTTTAACTCAAAACATGTAAGTAAAGCCGTCCCGTCGGGTAAACCTTGAAGCCTGAAGCGCTAAACCCTGCACCCAAAACACGGTGCAGTGCAAGCACTTTGTCAATTGCCCCAAGCTGTTGTACTCGACTAGTACCTTACACCCTGATTTGATGATTTTACCCTGGCTCAGAGTACCGGCGAACTGATGTGCTCTTCTGGAGCCTTCGTGGTTAGATCCCTGAGGTTTGGAACTTGCGCCGTGGTCCAGTTTCTGATGTACTCGGAGGCCAGCTCTCGCGAGCAAAGACGACCGGATGGATGTAGTTGTGGCGCGTCGTTTTCACAGAAGATTTTCCCGATGCCAGGAGACTGGTCCTGGTCCGATCCCGCCTGGACCTTGGGGATTTTTGCTGGTGTGTGTCCGTAATGTCCGTAAAGGGATTGAACAGACAGATGCTAGTTGTTACAACAACAGTGCCGGCTGTGTGGAAATATGACTGCAACGACTTACTGCTGGTTGGGCTGGACCGAACCCATCTGCGCGAGAACTGGTCGTTGTCGCACAAGGAGCGTGTTCGTGGACGTTGCGCGGAAGGTTTACATGAAGCTTCACATGATGTCCTGTACATTAGCCATGTCAGTCGAGATTTGCAACGGGTGAATTTGTGCAATCAGCATGTGCCATTGCTGTACTGAAAGACCTGCTGTCCACCAGAAACTCCGAGGTGGTGGGTGACAGCAACTGGTGACTATGACGCTTGACCGAATTTGGCATGTTTGCAATTCTTAAGACGAGTTTTGAAGCAGGTTGTGTAACGGAGCAAAGAACTGTGGGCGGCAGTCGCTGCTGGCAGCTGCCAGTGCTCTTTGTGAACTGAGGGCTGGTTTGTGTGCCTGGGTGTGCAAGGCCACGTTGGGGCAGCAACTGATTGCAGAAGAAATCGTTTGGCAGTGCAGCCTTCCATGCGACCGATTACAATAGAGAGATGTGCAGGAAAGAATGGAAGTACTGTAAGTCATGCCGACTCAGATTTGTTCACATGCAGTGACGCCTCCGGCAGGCAGTATTTCTTTGGGGGTTGTGCTTGGGGGATGTGCGGTGGGATGGTTGACGAAGACTGCGCCCTAGTCCTTGGTGGACCTCTGGCCGAACGAGCACCAAAGTGAAACCTCGCATGTCAAACTGCATCACACTGCCAAGGGGTCACAAGAGCGGCCCACTACCCTCGGCTTGTGAAGCCCGGAGGTTACATGAGGCCAAGGGCGCCCTCGCTGCGCCTGGACTTTGCTCTGACGAGCGACGACGACTTCCAGGCGCGGCGATTCCATTGGGCCATCGACCCATGAAACTTCCGAGCTGTAGGGTTGGGGCGATTGCTTGATATTGCTTGCAGCTCTGACCACGTGCAGGAGGGAGTTGACAGGGTTCCAATATCTTGTCGTGCGGGCTTTGCGGTCATGGCACCACATCATCAGAAGAATAGGAGTCGTTGAAACTGTAGCTTTAGCGGCGGCAGATTCGTTCGTGGTGGGTTTGGCAGGTCCTCGGCGAAAGGAAGCCGGCGGTTGCTCCCTAGCTTTTGATTAGTGTCATCCTTCTCTGCTTTTCAAGAGAAGCGCGCCTCAGAGTCCCCACAGCCGAGTTCCTAGACACTTCAGGCCCTGAACCGTACTGGACCATGTGGTACGTCTTATTTCCGGCAGTCGTTCTGTGTCAGATGGGGAGAGCACTTGTTCTTCAGCCTATACCCGTTCTCAAGGAGAGTGGCCGCACCTCCGGATCGCCGTAGGACAGGTATCCTTGACTGATGCGTGTGTGCGGCATGTGCCGTCCATGGCTGCAGGAGTTGTTGACACCGCTCCGTGCGGAGATGTACGGAGAGAACTGCTGAATAATTACGGGCATGGCGTCTGTTTGCCACAGCCTTTTCCAACGGATTTGTCCACAGTTTCGAGAGATCAGTCGCAGGAATCGTGCATAAGCCAGCGCGGTTGCTATAGCAGAAGTCGCGAACAGAACGAGGCTGCGAAAGCTGAACGAGGCTGAAACGCTGCCTAAACCCAGCTGTTGTTTCAGCCTCAGTGACGATGGGCAAGAGGCCCAGACACGGGGATTGGTCGCGGTGAGTGTACCAGATCCTTTCGCTCACCCTTACAGCCTTACAGTCTTACAGTACGGATGGCAAATTCCCTGGTGGTTTCCTGGTCGCTGTTAGTCAGGTTGCAGCTTGAGGGGAGGAATGAGGTACACTCCATGCGGCATACACTGCACGCAGCACCTGCGCGGCGTACTGGGCACTCCCAGATTCGAATGCCGCCCGTTGTACTGCCACTGCGCCACGAAGATGGCGCTCAGCTGGACTAAGATGCCTGCATCGCAGCTTGGGCCAGGTCCCTGTGCACTACACTGGCACATAGGCTCTGTGCTAGAAGACTGTGGCAAGAGAGCTTGCAAGGGCTTGCGCTAGTAGGAGAGAGCCGCTTGGGACCGCTGAGTCTTCGATGTGACGTTGTGAGTGACGCACGACATGCCTTGATGTGTGCGAGAAAGCCTCATTGCCACACTGGGAGAGCCATGAGTGGTATCGGAATTAAGATAGGGGTTTATCCTACATGTGGTGTGCCCGTGGTGCAGCACGGTGTGCGAGGTTAAGCCAGCTTTCTGGTCGCCTTTTCGGAAGCAGGGTCCCTGTCACCCTTTCCCCTGCCGCAGGCCGACTACGTATCTGCGATGTTTGACTGTCAGGGCCTTTGATATGACAGCTACAAGATAGGGATGAGACGTTGGGTGTCAAGCTTTTGCTACGAGGCGATATTCCAATACCACCGGGCGGTGATGCCGCAGCCGGCACGGCCGGAATCTCGGGGCTGAAGCCCGGAAGCTTCACCAAAGTGGGGAATGGTGGCAGTCCTGTTTTGTTCGTAAAGGGTTAGAGCCCTCGGATCTTCCAGTGCAATGAAGATTATTGAAGCACCAGGGTCTTGCCCAACTTTCCAGGGCTCTGCCTGCAGCGACCATATCTCCATCGTCGCAAACCAGCCAGGTCTGCGGGGGTGGGCGTGGTCGGGGTTGGTGAAATGGTAACAGAGATACGGCTACCAACATTCCGGAAATCAGCTCATCCAAGGATGCCGGGACGAACTTGTTTGAGAGTGCCGTGCCTGTGCCCTTCAACTGTTCTGCAGGAAGCCCATCCACCGCAGCTCCACCAGGCCGTGCTTGTGCCGCAAGACTGCGTAGAGGGCTTGTGCCTAGGCCGTGGGGCGTGTGAGGGTGCGGGCTCATTCCGGGCTCTCAGTGTCAGAGTTGTAGAAATTTGACCCGACTCCACGCGTAAAGGCTCTAATCCCAGGGCCCTGAGCCCTAATCACATCTTCAGCCTCTGCCAGCCACGGCACCGGCGCCGACGCCTCCCAAGGTGCGAAGGCGCGCTGGGATGAAATGATCTCCTTAACGCTTGAGACAGCGCAGCCGGCGCAGCCGTGATCGCTTCGCTTGAGACTGGACGAGCCGGCAAATTTTGCGCTTAGCTCCAGGTGCGCGTCGCCGCCGTCACAGGCCCAGGCCAGCAAGCCGACGCCGACTCCAAGGACGCGCTGGGGGACCCTGGAAAGGATGTCAAGGCTCTAGGCCCTCTGGGCCATCTTTTCCCTCTTGGGCTGCATCTCTTTCGCTTGGAGTACTGGAGGACCAGCGCCAGGACGCCATGCAATCCTCGGGCCGTGGGCCAAGCCTCCCGTGCTTCTCTCGTGCTTCTCCACGGCTTTCCAGTTTGTCGCAAGACGAGTGCGATTGTAGCTGTAGTAGGTGCATGACCGCCAGCTTGCAAGGGCTGGGCTGGGGTGAACTCGCGCCCAAGAGATTGCTGGAGCATGCTTGAGCACGACGGAAATGCACACGTGAAGTGGTCAGAGTCCTCTGTCAGCGCTTTTGGCGGCTTGCGGGGTTCTCAGGTGGGAGGGCCAGCTGCCGCAATGGCCTCTCCGGCTTCGCCGGGTCCCGGGTTGGCAGGGTTTAGCCGCTTAGCCACGGCTAGAGGCGCAGGCTCGCACAGCCACAGGTCAAGATTCACTGACGTGACGAGGCCACGCACGGCCAGCGGCGGCTATCCGAGTTCAGCTAGGCGGCCAGCCTTGTCGTAGTGTCGTAGACGCTTGCGGCGTTGTTTGCAAGTCCCATCACCGTCCGCAATCGTCACCCCCGCCACAAGAAGCTGACTCGAAGCTGATTCCAATGGACACCCGACCCTGCAGAGCACACGAACACAGGGGCACGCTGCGAGGCACGACATGTTCTTGGGGTTTGAACTCGGACAGGACTGGTACCCGTCCTGCTCGTGCACCTGCCTCACCGCCAGCGAGTTCGTCCAAGGCACAAGCTACTGCATTCAGCAAACCCAAGAAAGAAGAAAGCAATGTAAGTCCATCCTAGACACCCGGAAAAGCTTGGCTCGACCCAAACTGCTAGATGGAGAGCTCGCCACCTTCGGCACGGCGTGCAACGCCTGGCACGTCCTCCTCGTCCTCCGGGCCGGAAGCCATGGAAATTTGGGGGGGTCATGAGTCTTGAGGCTTGAAAGGCTAAGGTTTCCATTGCTTGGACATACAGGCGATAGGGAGTGATAGGCATGTTCGAAGTTTTGAGGATTGTGCTGTTGCATCCACCATGATGAAACCTTTAGTGCAGCACAGAACATGTAAAGTCTGAACCGTTCAAGCCAAGGCACAACCATGCAGCCGTGGCTGCTGCCGTCGCCAACAAGGCCGTGGCTAGTATTGGCAGGGATGCTTTGCGCTGTGACCCGGGTTAGCAGCACGTGGCGTCCCTGAGTACGCGTCTCGAGCGGCCTGCAGGTTGCAGCTGCCACGCAAGCCGGGCCCCGGGCCCCAGTCAGGGGTCCAGGACCGATTCGAGGTGTTTAGCCGGCCTCTCTTTGGTTCGGGGATGTCTGATTGTGTGGAAGAGCGCTGCATGTGTGCCATGTGCCGTCGAGTCATTTTATCTGTGTATCTGCATGGGATAGAGTTGACAGGCAAGTTGTTTGTCCAGCATTTGCAGAGTCGCAAGGATCATTACTGCCCTGCATAGAGAGGCTTCGGAGCTACGGAGCTAGCAGGGCCAACAGTTGTACCTATTTTCAACTTTGGCGGCCCAATTCTCTGCACCGGCTAAACCCTTGGGAAGAGAGCCTTTCACACGGCAGATCGAAGCCTTCAGTCCGCCCAGCCTCGGCAGCTTCCGCAAAGGCACTATGGCGGGTTGAGGGCTTCAGTCTCACAGCTTCAGATTTCTTCCGAGTTTTTTGGGGTGTTTAAGCCAGCTTGTCGACAGCGCGCATGAGATCAGATTGCCCTGACTCCGTCACGTGGCCATTTGGCAAGATTGTGCACATGGGTAGTTTTGTAAATTGGGGTCCCTTTTCGACTCCTTTTCATAAGGGTGCCGTACTATCCTAATTTAGAGAATTACCCACATCGGATTTGGGATTTGCCAAAGTTGCGTGGACACAGGGAGAGAGATGTTTCCAGCCATTTTTGGCTTAAGCTGAAGCTCAAGCGTGACGGATCACACATTGTTGTCGTTCGACAGTAACTCGTTTGCTCAGACCCCATTTTCTCGGTGTCTGATGGGTCAATCCAAGCTTTCTGAACATCCTCACACACCAATAAATCGCGAATCCCCAAAAAGGAGACTCGAACAAGAATCACATTGTGACGAGTACAAGGAGCCGGAAGAGACACAAGCGACAATGCCAGCTTGGCCCGCGCCAGAAGCGGACACACAGAAACACTGGCGCATGAAGTGAGGAAGTGGTGGACTGACAATCCAGCTGCATGCCCAATACGACATCATAGCAAGTGCAAATAGAAACAGCAGCAGAACTCAGAAGGGAAGGGGGAACCCAGGCAGCCGCAAGCCTCCAACCGCAGCAGGCAACCGACTCAAACAGCATGGACAAAACATTCAGTTGTTACAGGCCGTTTCAAGCCTGCGAACAACCCCTCGAAGCGCAATGCCACCCTACACCAAGCAATCTGCACGTATCCAGCACTTCGTTGATGCAGCCAAGCCACAGAGGGAGACTCGCCAGCCGCAGCCGTAGCTTCACCTTGAGAACCGGAAGCAGTTTTCGCCGGAATGGCTGGTACAGCACAACCGCAGATACCATTTTGCAGACTTCCTTGCATTTGCTAGGAATAGGAGGGAACACGGCCCGTGGACGACAGCCTGAGGAAACAAGCAGAGTCTGCTCATCTTAAACGCGAAACCTCAAGATTGTGCTTCCCCACGTCACGGGGACGGGGGAGGATAAAGACGGGTTGAACTATAGCATTGGGTGGAGCAGGTCGAGATGGTGGACTCTTAAGAAACACTGGCCACGATGGCAATTCGGACACGGGGTGATCCGGCAGCCAGCGCCACGAGGGGAGCCCAGCCGGAGGACCGAGGATAAGGGGGCATTGAGACGCGGACGGAAGGTTGGGGATCCTCCCGCGAATTCATCGATGGCGGAGTAAGCCGCGGGGCGGCGTGGCCCATGCCAGCAGACAACTCGATCCGAGCATCCATCCCCCTGGCCACAAAGTGGACAGGCGGGCCTAAAGTATTTGGGCCGTAACAGGTTCCTCAAAACAGAAGACACACCTTATTGTCAATTTTTCTCCCTGTACGTGTGTAGTATGTAGCGGCTGCATAGCGATTGTGCTTTGGTGAAGCCAACTAGCACGTACTTGTCTGTTATGCCTTGGGGACTGACACTGCAGCACGCAGATTCGCTGCACAGGCAGGTTTGCGTAGAGTTCTTATATTCGACTGACGTATGTACATGCATACATACATACATACATACATACATACATTACGTACGTACGTACATATATATATATATGTACATACACACATACACACACACACACACATACACAGGAATCAAGTTATCTTAGTACGATGTCATAATTGATAGAAGACGTGCTAGTGTATTACATAGTATAACGCTATATGTTCTTGTCTGGGTATTTTGGGCAATGGATGACAAGAGTAAATTTACCCTTGATTAAGCATGCCGGGAGAGCATTGTAAGTTTTCCCGCTGCTTGCCGTGGGTTAAGAATGACTGTTGTTATGGCTTCGTTGTGGTTTACAAAACACAAGACCATCCATCCCTGAGACGGTTGGCACGATTGCATCAACAGCAACAGCAAACGGGAGACGGCGACAGTTACAAGGATGTCAGGCCCGATCCACCAAATCCCTGTAACTGTCGGTGTTTTTGAGGCAGCATGGCAAGGTTGAGGCCGAAAATCGGCAAGCATCAGGCAGATTCTGCATCGCGTGCTCACCAACCTCCACCAGACCACGCCATGAGGGGGTGTGGGTGGAAGTCTTCATTCCAGGTTTGTGGTGCGTACACCAAGGATATCAACGCATGTCGTTACACGCATGCTATGTGTTACGCGGGCACAGCTTCTTGCGGAGCAGTTTGCACGAGCTTGTGATTCAAGGGCGCAGAGGTTGAAGGAGAATCTCGTGCAGGTGTCTCCGAACATGTCTGCTCGGACCACAATGCTGGGATCTCAGTACTCGTAGCCAACTGCGGCTGTATCTCTGTTGCTCTTCTTGAGACCACTTGGGACAAGTGTAGAATTCCAAGGACGCGACCCGGCAGCCTGGCGAAATCCAGCAACTCGGGCTCCCTGATGCACCGCATCCTGGCCAAGGTGGGAACTTTGAAAGGGTTTCAGAGTTTAATTTTACGCTTTACAACACAAACCTGTGTGTCCTACTTTACTCCTGCGACCCTGACCGTGAGCTTTGCAAACGTGTCCAATGCAGGATCCCTCTCCACCGGTCCGCCGCACAACGCCCACCACTGCTCCGCACGTTCCGCACACGTCGTCGGGGACCTGGCGTCTGCATAGCTTCCACATTCTCTTGGATAGCGGATTGCGGGCCAGGAGCCGTCTTGAGCCGAGCTTGGGAATTTCATGTGACCCGTGTGTCCTCAGCCAGGCACAAACGCTATCTCAGCGCAACCCATCCTCTTTCTCTGTTGCACCGTTCTGCGCCTGCAGTAGAGTGTGCGTGTTACATCCTTTGGTTCGCATCTGTCATGGCCATCTTTGAGTGGGGCCCTGGACCCTGGCAATGGCATCATGGCTGTGGGCTTTGGCGGCGTCGCCGCGCTTGGAGGCGGAGTCCAAGCTGGGACGTCTGCGATGGTCTGCGGGTGTGAAGATTCGGAGGTTCCTGTCAGGTTCTAAGATCACGACAAGGGCTGACACGGATAATGTCCACAAGCCAAACTCAAACATGATGGATCCTGCTTCAACATCGCTCTAGCTTGAGCATCAAACGTTGGACATCGCTTGCCATCGCTGTTATCGTTTGCATCCTGTTAAATGACAGGAGGTGAAAGCCAGCCCAATTAAAGAAGTGTTGCCGAACCAAGCACGATGACTCTGCCAGCAAGTTTTGAAGCCTGTGTATCGCATGGCAGTTGACAGCGGTTTCTTTCGAAGCTAGATATCGTCTGGACAGACCTTGTGTGTACAACATGGGTGATATGAGTCGTACGAGCCATGATGTGTCAAGCGTTGCACCAGGCCTCACACTGCGGGACGGGGCCTTGCGACCGCCCATGGGCGGTCGGCTTGCAGCCCTCGGGGAGCATCGAAGCCGTCGTGTCTCTGTTTGGGCGGAGGTTGCTGGAGCCAGCTTTTGCTGTGGCCTCGGCGGTCTCTGCAGGAGTGCGCAGACGTTCGCTGCGCGACCCATCGTCTGGCTCACCCGGAGGTGCCTTGGGAAACGACCTCTGCCTCTGCGTTTTCTCTTCGTTCAGTCTTTTGTGTTTATGCAGCAAGGGCTTGGCAGGTACGGCCGGCCTTTGTAGCGTTTGCCATGGCGCAGTGCAAAGTTGCGAAGCTCCACTCCGAAGTGCTCCCGGTCGCAAGACAGGGATTTTGTCTTCCAGCCATCCGGTGGAACTTTCACAGAATACGCCTACTTCCTTGCACTTTGCTGCAGTGCCGGCTGGCCAAACGGACTCTGTTTGGCTTCTCGTTGCATGAGGTGACAGTTCTGGCAATTGGCTCGGGCGGCCTCCTCTTTGAGTGGGAGGTGCTGGAAGCATTGCGGACCAGCTGCTCGGCCAAGCACACAAGCTGTGGTGTGGGCTCTGGGGTGCAGGGGTGACTTGCTTATGCTCGAGATCCTATTGATTGTTGAACTGCACGTCTTTCTAAATTGCGCTCGTGCAGAAGTTCCCCAAGAGCTGAGTCTTGCACGAGCATCGCCCCGAAGAGCCCACGATCCAGGCCTCCATGCCCACGTAAGCTCCTAAACCTTAGGCTGAGGCCAGGGCATCATGTTCGCCTCCATTCACCTTGTCGATCCCCTTTACAGCGTTCCGACTTCAGGCGATGTCAGGGGGTGGGGTAGATAGATGCGACGGAGGGCATGTATGTCCATGGATGGCTCAGACAGAGCCGGCACATGCCGGCACAATTGCCCATGTCCAAGCACAACCTTTCAAACTGGAAGTTGGCAGTGCGTTCCGTGCATTCTACCAGCGCCCGTGGGACCAGAAGGCCGATATTGCGTGGCTCCACAACGTAGGCGACCACACCATGACAATCAAGGAATGGGGCTGGAGGGCTGGAAGAGCCCAGTCTGAAAGGATAGGTCCTGAAACGAGGTTCCCAGTCTTGGCTGTTCACGGTTTGGCTTTGGAATCCGGAGGGCAAGAGAGCTTCATCGGGGCCGGAGAGAAACTGGGAAGAACTGATGAAACTCCTGGCCCCCAAGCTGCAGAAGACCACCCAGAACCAAAACAGGCCAACAGTTGAAAGCGCACCGGAGTGGGCAACAAGCAGTCAACAAGCAGTGGCCAAGAGGCTCTGGTTTTGTTCTCTACAGGAAAGTTAGAAAATTTCGCGGACTTGGCGGCCATGTCTCCCTCCATCCGTCCTGAAGGCTCCTCTCTGGACTTTGTTCGACTGAGTCTGTTGAAAGCTTCACGGAGATGTCGTTGTACACCTCGCCCACAGGTGCTTCCTCGCTTGAGAAGCACCGATTAGCTCGTTGTGCCCTGGAGGCGAGGCTGGGCTCATGTTGTTTGGAGGGCTTGGGCTTGACTGTGGACGGAGTTGGCGTATTGTGGGCAGCCGGATGCGAGGATTCGTTGAGGCAGCTTCCTTCGAAGCCCAAGCTCGGCGCGAGGCCTTCCGAGACTGGTTCTCCGGGGCCTCCGTTGCAGCTTACGCGAGCTTGGCAGAGTTCGAGACGAGCGCGGCGCGGGACTCCAAGCTCGAGTATGGGTTGGGAAAGTACTGTATGGGGCTAGCCCTAAGCCGAGGTTTGGAGTAAGGAAAGGCCAAGCCCCGTTCCTTGCAGGATCTGCAGTTGGACCTGATCTTGAAGCTGGATGCTGAAGGAGTAGAGCTGGAGGACTTCAAGCCTCCCATGAATGCATTTATGCAGTTTATGCAGATTGCATCCTCTGAGTGCCTGGTCAGCCGGACGGGAAGGAACAAGGCACAGACAGAAACGGAGGGGTTCCGAGGCTTCTTACGGTCCTTACGGTGGCTTCTTGGGGATATGGGCTTCCCTCGAACCTTGGAATTGCGGCACAGTTCGAGGACTGCGCCGCACAGCTCCGGGCTGGGCGCCTTGCCAGCGATGGAGCCTTGATGCAATCAGTAAGCAGCCTAGCAGGGCCTAGCATGTCCGGGCCCCTTTTTTCTGATGCGGCTGCGACCTGCTTCTGCCAGCAAGGCCTGTTCTTTCGTCTATGTGGCTGTGATGGTCATGATGCACCCGAGTGCGAGGATGGCAGCAGAGACCTGGCTGCTCAAGCCTGCGCAAGGGCCAGTTTGTCAAGGTCATTTGCTCAGATCGAAGGTTGCCAAAGGCTCTTCCGGCGGCTTCTCTCTGCACGCTGCGAGGGCAGTGCCTGGTCTGCGGGTGAAGAGGCTGCTCTCCGCAGGATTTCAAGCGTTTCACTTTTTCACCTGCAGGGCTCTTTAGCTATCGCAAGGCTTCAGGGCCATCTCACGGTTCCGATTTGTCGTAGTGTCCGGGGAGGCCCAGACACCGACGTGCGCTAAGAAGGACCTCGAAGCCCTAACAGACAGAAAACACTAGGACATGGAGATACTTTAAACTCCGGGAAGCGGCAGTCTGACAGTCTTTGAGGCGGAACTTTTGCCAAACGGTTTTGGAACAAGGCCCAAAGTCCCTGCACGATCCCTTGCACACAAGTCACAAGAGAGATTCAGTGCCTGCAAGTCTCGGGACGGCCACGGGGTTCATTGAGCAAATGCAGATTTCCTCGAGACGGAGAGGAAAGACCGACCAAAACCAACCACCACGCTGTCGGGGCTCGAAGCAGCACCGTAGCCCCGAGCTCTGCAGGTTTTCTTCGAGCCTCCTCCACCCGACAAGCACTGCATGGAGCATCGAACCAGGCACACCGATGGAAGTTTAAGGGCTCGAGGTCAGGTTGGGCGTTTGAGTTTCAGGCTTTCGGGGCTAGCGGGTAGGGCAGTTTAGAGGTTCAGGGTTTCGGGGTTTCAACTTAGCTTGTGCTGGGCTCTGTAAAAAATCTAAAGAATGGCCGCGCTCCTCCTAGCCGATGCAGCAAAGATGCCGAGCAAAATCCAAAAGCGATTTGGGGTTTAGGGGCTCCAAGCATCCATAACCACCATCGCCTAGGATCGCGACCTCTTCCCCGCGCGACCGTGCGGCTTCTGAGGGGCTTCGCCTGCTGCGTGTCGTGGCAGAGGGAGTCAGCAGAGGCCGCAGGGTCCTGGGGCCATGGGGTTTGGATTCTGAGGGTATGAGAAGACTTTCCAGAGGCATGCGGAAGCAAGATGGGCAGAGTACAGTAGCTTGTGTCAGCAAATCCGGGCGATTGCCTGCAAATCGAGTCAGAAAGCCAGCAGCTGCCTGTCGCGAACGGGGTCGCCTCGAGTCAAAAGCAAGCGGCCACGGAAGTCAAAAGGCAGGAAGCTCCAATCAGTAAGCTGCAAGCTGGATATGGGAAAATGGGAAACAGAAGCGACCACGCAGTACCTCCTCTTGCACCCACAAGTAGTTGTACGCTAGTTTGCATTAAAGTCTGCACATCTCAAGAGATGGATGGGACATGTTTGACGCTGAAATGTCGGAAACGTCTACACTACATTGACATTTCCGGGAGCATGTCGTTGCGTTAGAGGTGCTGCCGTCGCATGGCACTTCCTTGGTGTTTGCCGTTTCGGGCTGGGGCGCCTCCGACAGCGGCTCTGGGGTTTACTGACTGCGACGGTGCTGTTGATGACTTGCATCCGGCCTGCTTGCTGATTCTGCCTTGATTTTTTTGTCTTTTTTTGCTGACTCCGACCCTGCCCCAATATTATGGGACCATGAAGATTTCCATTGAATCTTGTTACATTGTAGAAAAACTGCTTGCCAGAGGCAATGGTTCCATTAACCGCAACCGATAGCTATTGTGGCATCTCGCAATTGCCTCACTTCAAGACTTTCGGGGTGGATGCGATGGAGGAGTGGTTGCCATTCGCGATGCGCCGAAACCTGATGGGGCCATACTGGGCGTGAAGCGCCGGGGCGACTTTGTCGTCGCTGAGCTGGAGGACCGTCTGGCGAACCAGGGGAGAGCTCGGAGCAAGCGCAGCAAACGCTGCTGCTCTGTGCCAGGAGCCGCCATGGGTACAACTCTCGATTGAGGAGACGTCTTCTGGGCTCAGCATTGGTGTACACTTCAGCCGCCGTGAAAGGCCAGCAAAAAGATACGTGCCTGAATAGTAGAAGGAAAGGGAGCGAGAGGATGGCTGCGTGAGCCCCCTATCCCGACTGTGTGCAGTGAAACTCGTTCCGTTTCGGCGTCGTCGTCGTCGTCTTCACCATCACCATCACAATAACTTCTGTAGCACCAGCACCAGCGCCAGAGCGCCAGAGCGCCAGGCCAGCGCCAGCGCCGCCGCCGCCGCCAGCTTTAGCGGTAGCGGTAGCGGTAGCGCCAGCAGCAGCACCAGCACCAATTGGCAGTTCAAGATCCGTCAGGTTACGGGCAACATCAGAATGGAATGCCATCACCATCGCTATGTAATGAATGAATGCTTTTTCAGAGCTACATGTAGCATCACAAAAGCTGCAGATATGACTAGTCCGAGCAGAGTGCAGGATGACTGGCTCGCCGAGTTCAGCGAGCTCCAGAGGTTCTTTCAGCCCATGGAAGTTCTCATTTAAATGTTGCTACATATTTCAGACTCCTCAATGTCTGGGGATACTGTAGTCAACTGTTGGAGCGTGTTCTGGATGTTTGGATCCGTCTCGGCTGCTAGGACAAGCAAGGGAACTACAACTGCACCGAGTTGTTGGATATATCGTGGGTGGGTCTTAAACGCTCCTTCGTCATTGTTGTCTGAGAGACTTTGGGGTCCGGGGGCTGTTCAAGCCCTTCTAAAGCCAATCCATTCGTGCAGTTCAGGCCACTTCGACAAGCACCGGTTGCTTGAAACATCACACCTATCCACTACTTGCTGCACAAGAGAGGGTGACTACTTCCCCGTTCGTTGTGGCAGGTTGGAGGGTGCGCCAGCACCTGTCAATGCCTGGCTGCAGAGCTGCAGAACGTACAGTCGGAGAGAGGGGTTTGTGTAGCTTTCTTGGACAGAGGAGGACGGGGTGGAACCCGAATCTCGCTTGGAATGAAGTCGCACTCCACTTCTGCCTTCGACATCCCTCATGACTCACCTGTTTGAGCCTCAAGCCACAAGTGCCTGTCCGTGGTTGCCGATGCAAAGCCGAATCGTGATCAACGTGTTTGAGTCGATTTGAGCACTGAGGATGCTGCAAGACGGTGCCACGCTGGGCTTCGGCGTATTGCTTGCCCCGGAATGACAAAAAGGCAAATGACATCAGCTAAGGATAGGCGCGGCATCCTCAAAAGCTGATACAGTTACAGTATCCCAGGAAGTCGTGTCGTCTGAGTCTTCCATGGAAACTGCTAGGGCTCACTCTCTTTCGAAACCTTTCCGATGGTTCCAATGCCAGAAATTATGTGACAGATTGCCTGCTTTTCTGCAGGGCCGGTAGAGAATCAAAGGCGAGTTATGACTCTAGCACAGCGAAAGCACAAGATTTCAACAAGCTGAGTCGCAAACCTGTCGTGTCAGTTGCAGACCTAGTGCCGGGCCTCAAGCTGGAGAGCTGGACTCGAAAAGGGACGTCGCACCTCAGGTCTCCACCCGCAACTGTGCGGAGCTCCGGAACGGGCGCTTCGCCACGTGATCTGACCAGGCACACTGACCCGGTGGCAGTGAACACGATCTTCGGACGATACCCCCAGACACACTGAGCCTGTACGGATCGGGTGCGACGGCTCCCCAATTACAAAATTGCCCAGATGGGTTCTAGGCCTAGGCGCAGTCCAATGACATCCAATGACGAAACTGTAGCATGATAACGACCACGCCCATGGTGATGGTGGAGGAGAACTGTAACTGTGATCATAGATATCGCAAGCATGATTGCGACCATGGCGACTTTTCCGATGAGGTGATCGTGACTTGTCTGCTCCAGTGCTGTGCAGGTCCACAGAGAGTGCACGTCGCCGGGCGGCTCCGGGCTCGGCTCGGGTTGGGCTTTTCTTGGGTTCTTTCGATTTCGGGTTCTTCATAGAAAGTTTCTGAGACCAAGCCCTACCTGCCTGGGAAGGTCTCCAGAAGACACAATTTTCAGCAGGAAGACAGTTCAGAGGAGAGCAGGGGATAAAGAACAAAGGGAGGAAAAGAAGACCATGCACAAGCGCAATAGCAGCTTTAATACTTCGCCTAGCCGTCGACCCAGAGTTCCTTCCAGGCTGCGACGACTGGCCCCAGCTCGCATTCCGTGCCGCACTCTGTGCCGCACTCTGCATCGCACCCGGCGGCCCATCCCGTGGCTTGGTGGAGGAACTCATGATCTGGCAAATCCCAGAGATTGCTGACGGATTCACGATGGCCCTTCACTCGCTCTCTCCGACTCTAGGTTGTTGTTTGAGGCATAAGCATGCATCCACATAGTATGCTGGGTTTTGATAATTCAGTGCGTGCGTGCGTGCATGCGTGTGTGCGTGCGCACATGTAGTGTGTTTGTGTGCGTGTAGCGCATAGCTAGTTCTCGTGTATTCTATGTTGCGCATGCATAGGCAGGTTACATACATTACATACACTACACACATTTACATTACATACATTACATACGATACACACACACACACACATTGCACACAATACAGGCATTACCGTAACATTACATACCATACAATACAAACCAAAATTGCAAGCACTGCAATACCACACACTGGAATGCCCTGCCCTGCCATGCCATGCCATGCCATACCATACCATGCAATGCAATTCAAGACATCCATGCATCGTCTGTCTACCCGCCGCCCAGGTGGTACACACCGCCCACACGGCCCACACAGCGCATCCCTCGAGCGCACGCACCCGATTGGGCGTGAGACCCCCGGCAGGGAGCCTACAGAGTCTGGCCAGAAAAGGGTGTTAGTTGTTCTTTCTGTGACAGACTTGCACAGCTGCTGCTGCACGTAGATGGACTTGCATTTCATGCTGGAGTTGTTCGCTTCGATGTTTCAGCGTCCTAAACTTAGATTGGCTGAGGTCTCGCCTTGCTTGTTGATGATCGTGATGTTTTCTTGTGATGATGATGAGGAGGAGGGTGAGGAGGACCAGCATGACGAGGACGGAGAGGAGGAGGAGGAAGGGGTAGGTCGGACTAAGCTGGGTAATGTGTGGAGAAGACAGAGGAAGATGGTGGGGAAGGGCGGATGGAGCAATACTCGGTTTTACTATAGGATATTATACTTACTTTCGTATGCCTCTTTGGTGTGTCCCCCACTATGACGAAGGTTCACACTGTTGCGGCGACGGCGCGGGCCTGAGAAGTCGCTACCGCGGTCTGGGGATCCGGTTTGAAGGTTTGCAGAGTGTGTCATTGCCTTGTTAAGGCCGCTCGCCGCACGGTGCGTTGAGTGATGCCGGATGATGCCAGTCTGGAAGAGTGGTGAACCCATAGAAGCTTTCGGATCTGCAAATCGAGCCATCTTCTAATGATGTGGACTGGCCGTCTCCAACTGAAGAGAGTAAGGTGGCTGGTGCTAGTCGCCATCTTGTACACGTTGCTTTGTCTGTGCCTACAGTGAGGAGCAGCACTGTCCATTGAAATCAATTCATTGCGCCACGGGCAAAAAACTGAAAACATATCAGGTCTCAGTTTTTCCGATCTGCAGTAGCTCGGAGACGGAAGCTGGATATCTCAAACGTCCTATGCCTGGCTAGGTCACTTCCGTAGCAGGAGTAAGTCAACCTGGCAACGGGATTCCGGACATGGCTCGGCTTGCAGCTGCCTGAATATCGCTTGGGGTCGCCTCTTCCCTCTGGTGTTTACCGGTTTTCTGTTGGCGACGTTCGTGGTTTGTCTATACCTTCCCTGCGCGGGGGTGCGGATGACACGGCTGATTGCTTTACAACCGCTCTTCCCTTACAAGGGCAGCTGTTTTACCTGTGCTAATGAGCAAAAGTAATGGAACGACCGCAACTAGCGCCGTCACCCTGGTTCCGTACCCCCTCAGCGGGACTTGCACTCGAGCCTTCATTTCCGGCTCGGTCGCCGAGAGCGCTCTGGAGCGAAAAGAGGCACCATATCAGTTTCTTGTCGACGAACTTAGGGTTTGGCCATCACTCAGTATCGAGCACCCAGGCAGCGCAGAGATAGATAGCCTGCGCTGCCAGAGCGCAAAACAGTCCTAGCAACAGTATGGCATTAGGTGATGGGGCGGAGTGCTCTCGATGCGCAAGAAGCGGCCTTACGGGTCCAAAAAAGCCCTCGTTTCACATCGGTCCAGTGCTTGACTTAGTCACAGAAAGCCATGGAAGGCTCTGGGAGTGGCGAGCTCTGGGCGAGCCTGGCTCGCCATCCGAGGCTTCTTGCGGAAGTGGCCCCGCCTTCTGTGAAACACGAGAAAAGAGTGCAAACGACTGTAAGTATGGGGCTCTCATGGTGCGAGTCGTTGCGTGGCAACACTTCTGCACGGATTTGGACGCTGGCTCGCCTCGACTAAGAACGACTTTCGGAGGCTGCGACCCCTTGTCGGTGGAAGCTTTGTAAATCATGAACTCCGTGTCCAGCATTTACTGCAAGGAAGCACAGTGAAGAAACAGACAACCTAAAGTTGAGGCTGGAGGGTGCAGGAACGCACTGGGATGTTATGCCATCAAGACTCCCAAGCTTAAGATCTTGTAATGCCAGTGGCACCTTCGATGGGATTGACAGCTTTGAGAAGAGTTTTGGAACCAACCAGTCATGGCAGTTACCCAGCTCGTCAGGGGTCGCAGCTTGGCCAATGCGGTCTTTCCGAATTCGCAGTCTCGCAGCACGAAAAGGTGCAGGGAGCTGAAGCATGTCCTTTAGATGAGACTTGCAGCGTTCCAAGTCGCCATCCCGCTCGTGAGGTTTACAAGCATGTATCTGGCAGACCATCGATCAGGTCGTGGCTTGATCTCGGCAGGAGTGGATTTGGAGCGTGCTTTCGCGAACGCTTTGTCGTGAGGCCGAAGGAGACATATCGCAGAACGCATTTGACAAAAAGAAAACCATCTCGAGCCGTACGGGCGCAGTCGAAAACTGTCTGAATGCCGTCCGGCTTGGCGGTGCTTTCTGAGCTTTTTATTGGGAGGTGCCATAGATTTCCTTCAACCATGATGCGGCTGACCTGGTCGTGTTTGTTGTCTCCTCTCGTCGCATCTGCCCAGTGGTTTCAGAGTTGTAGGGCCAGCCTTCACCGCCTGCGGAGTTGAGGAGCTGAGCAGAACATTCGCAGGCGTCGTAGTGATGAGGCAAACCTCAAGGCTACGAGCGTGCTCTTTTCAAGTCATCCGGATTTTGGAGGAACTGATCAGGTATTTGGTGCGCTACCTCCTCTGCAAAGCAGCGCATAAGTCATGTAACAAAGCATTCGACGAACTCAGTGGCCTTGCAGGAGCCAAGATCCTGGCCACACTAGCTTCCGGGAACCAAACGACAGAAATTTGAAGTTCTCGGTCGCAACAAGTCGCAGCTATCTTCAGAAGCAGCAGCCAACAACGACTACGACCGCGCCCAGCACTGAAAATGCCCATCCAATAGTGCAGCATTGCAAGGACAAATGTGCCTCAAATAGCAATGGCTACAAGATTTCGACGACCAGCAAGTGTGATTGCTTGTAGCCAGTATACAAGTTGACAAAGTCTGCGACGTGCACCCCTGCAGAAGCTCCCACGAAAAGGATGCCGATGTCGTCAGGAAGGTGGAGCCTACAATAAAACGCTCAAGACTAGGACTTCTGAGCGCAACATGTACTCTCTTGCGCCTAGAGATGCAGTGCAGCTGAGCTCCCGAAGGTATTTCGATAAAGGCATGAGGCACGCCGCAACAAATCCCTTTGGCTCGGTAGCGGGCTCCTTTGGAACGCACCGGCCGTCTGGATCGAAGAGGCCCTGTGGGCTCTCAAGTGGGGAGGATGCTTCGGCTTTTCTACAGAATCAACGCTGCAGGACGACTTGCGTGGCTTCGACCCTTCGAAGCTATGTCCGACAACGAATCCGAGCCGCGGCCTTTGAGCCCACGAGGCTATGCCTGAGTCCGGGAGCTTTATAGGCTGAAATTCTGTGCAGTTTAAAGGAGCTTGTACTGGTGAAAGCGTGCTGAGGAATGAGGAAGTGAGCGACCTTTCGAACCCTGACGTCGTGCACCAAGTTTCAGTGGGATGCATGCAGGGCATGACAGGGCTGACGGCTCCTGTTCGATGAGTTTCCAAGCTAGCTGCAGGTCACCACGAAGTATCGGACGGCCGCAGA